TGTAATCGCTTGCCACATCTACAAAAACCGGTTTAGCGCCCATAATTGCAACACCACCAGCAGTAGCAATGAAGGTATTAACTGGAATGATAACCTCATCACCTGAGCCTATGTCAAAAGCTGCGCACAAGAGTTGCAGGCCATCAGTTCCATTGGCAATAGAAACGACATGATTGGTTTCACAAATTTCTGCCAACCCGGATTCAAAACGGGCCACCTCATAATCCAAAATATACTGTCCCTGTCGTCCGACCCTGGTGAAGGCTTCCACCAATTCAGCCTCAAGTTCATTAAATTGCGCACCTAAATTAACAAAAGGGACTCTCATCAACTCTTCTCATAAAATTGTTTAATACACTCGACCATAAAGTCACATTGCTCGGCAGCTATGTGTTCGTGTACAGGGAGTGACAGTATGTTATCCGCGGTGAATTCTGCCTGCGGAAAGTCGCCTCGTTGATACCCCAAGCCCTTTGCCGCTGGCTGCAAATGCATTGGCACGGGATAATGTATTTTGGCATCAATCCCCTTGGCCTGTAAAAACGCCTGTAGTTCATCTCGTCGTTCAAAAATGCCAGAATATAGATGGTAAACCGACAAACGATTAGCAGTCCTTTCAGGAAGCCTGACCTGTGGCATATTTAACAATGCTCTGTCCAGGTGAGCTGCATTACGAATTCGAGTAGCCGTGATAGTCTGCAGTTTCTCATCAATGATATGTTGAGCAATAACCGCCTGAATGGTATCCAACCTGGAATTATAGGCAAAAACAGCGCATTCATCTCGATTCACCAATCCGTGATTCCTCAACAACGAGAGCCGTCCAGCTAAGGATTCATCATTAGTAATGATAATGCCGCCATCTCCCCAAACATTGAGGTTTTTTAACGGATGCATACTAAAACAGGTTAAATCGGAATGTTGTGCCATGCCCTTGCCGTCGAGTCGGGCTCCTATGGCATGGCAAGCATCCGCAATCACTTTGAGATCGTATTTTTCAGCAATTTCGTTGATGCGCTGCATATCACACGGATGACCAGCCCAGTGCACTGGCATTATCGCTTTAGA